CAATCCTCCTAAATCATTATAGGACTCAATATCATTCATCCTCAATCCTCCAAAATCATCGTTTGCTTCAATTGCTATTTATCCTCAATCCTGCAAAATCATCAAAAACCAGCATTATGATTTTTGAGGATTGAGGGAGGTTGGGGTTAAAGAATTGGTGGTAACCAATGTACCGGTAAAATGTTTTGAGAATCGAAGTTTACTCAGCAGAGAGAACTGTGATACTGCCCAAAACTTTTGTTGGGCGCATTTGCTCGTGTATTCTGAAGAACAAAACAAAACAATGCGTTCACATACCCAACTCCGACTGAGTTTCATCTTGATCTACTTCGTTTACATACTTGCACTTCCATTTTCTCATCCTGTTTTCTTGTGGATTTAAAATACTTGGCTCACTTCCAGGGAAAGTCCTTTTAAAAAAATGTTCTCATGCAGTTTCCTCTGGAAGAGAGTTTGCTTTCTGGGTAACCGGCTACAGGTATGTCCGGTACTGTGAGGCAAAGAGCATCTGGAAGTAGCCAGTGGAACCCTGCAGCAGCTGCCGTCAGACATGCAAAGATCCTCATCTGGCCAGGCTAAAATGATATCATGTCATCCCCGACAAGAGTGTCGCAGTTGATCCGGAGTTCTGAGCAAGTGTCAGGTTTCATTCCTGTGAGCCAGTACTCCAACAACTCATGTTGCTAACACAGTGACAGCACAAAAGTAAACTCCTTTGTAAAGAGAACATGTACATGTACATGTGTGCTTTCCTTGAGTTTAGCCGATCGTTTAAAGTATTGATAACATACATGTAACTTGCAGTTGTGGACTTTTTGTTTTCAAGGGATTGCTTTTTTTTGCCTTGAGTTCTTCATTAAACACTGGTTTGTTAATACGTAGTATGCATTTATAAGAATTCTTGCTTTGCATGTTTATGTTTAAAGCAGAGGGAATGGTCGACAAAATTCATTGTTTTTGTCTGTGCTGTTTTACCAAAGTAAATTGGTTCAATTCCATTTGAAAATTGTGGAATTACTGTTGCTTTGTGTAAGAATGTTTCCAGTAAAATGTGGACTACATTGTATTGGAACTGGGGGCCCATTTTTTGTTACAGTCTGGTAAGTTCAGGACTCTAAGTTTTCCTTTAAAAACCAATAAAGTCTAAAATTTGGTCTCCTCCCAACATTTCCTTTGAGCTTCTCTACCCCATGCTACTGCTAGATATTGATGCCAGCCACAGTCTGATTTTGCGGGAAGTTAACTGTGGTTGCAAAGTATCTTTATACACAGTTGTAAAATGACAATTATGCAAAGCCCTTTCAAGTTGTGGGAATCTTGAGTGGAAGGTTCTTTGGTTCTCCTCTGTCAGGGTTTTGATCGCTTAGAACCCATAAAAAGTGTGTGCCTTTATGGCAAGGTACATGTACCGGTACATGGACAATATTTTTTATATTAAGCTTATGTGTGGCTATCTAGTGCATACAGAAATTCCAATTACATCCTGCTCCATAGGAGGCTTGTTGTGGTCAAGTTGTGTGTTGTTCCGCTTTTCAAAGAACTCACCTGTTGTGAGGTCATGCAGCCAAGCTGGGGTCACTTGATGTCATGAGAGGTCATGACTGTGTCTAGAGAGAGCCACTATGAAGTTGGCTAATTCGGAGCAGGGAGTAGGAGGTAGTGCCCCTTGTTGCTGTGCAGGATCTTTGCCTGACAGGGTTTGACATTGGAACAGCATGAGCCAGTTTTAGGGTAACTGTCCGGTGTTTTGATTTCAAACCCAGTGAGCCACTGTGAAGTTGGTGGTCGGGACTAATGGGAAAATGTACATTCTTTGGAGACTTGACCTAGTTGTCTTGAGACTTGACCTAAACCACTTAAGACTTGCCCAGAGTTACCTGAAACATGACAGGGAGGGGGACACGTTAAACTTGATCAGAATTATGTATGTGCATCTTGAGACTTGACCTGAAGGACTTGAAACTCAACCAGATTGGCTCAAAATTTGACCTGTATGTACAATGTACATGTAAGCTACTTGAGACTCGACCAGAGTACATGTACCCATGGCTTGAGCCATGGCTGGAGAGACTTGAGCCTGAAACCAAATGATTTCAACTTGGGCAAGGTGACTTTACCCAAGTTCCATGCACTGAAAACATTACATTTGTCTTCCTACACCTCGAGTGCTTGCATGT